GCCCCTCTCCTGCTCTCTCTCTCTCTCTCTCTCTCAAAATAAATAAATAAATAAACATTAAAAAAAAAATAGGTTCCCAGACCTTGGAAACTTTTATTAATGTGGCTTTCACTGCTTCAAAAATGTGATGCAAGTAAAAATTGTTTTCAAAAACAATTTAATTTTAATTATAACAAGGCTTCACTTTCTAGCACACCTAATTGCAAATTATACATTTCAAAGCAGAAATTTGTCAGATGTATTGTGTGTAAACTATAGATTTATGCACTGCCATGGAAATTACAACACCACAAAACTGGTAAATGGCAAAATGTTTTTGTTCAAATAAATAGAAAATCCAGAGGTACACTGGTATGACTTACTTCTCTTTGCCCATGATTCACTTCATGTCTATCATAATTTTAAGTCTGGTGTTCTCTAGGAGAGACATCACGATCCTAGCATTCTCATATCCTGCCACAACACCTACACCTACTTTTTCAACCACATGCATTTTTTTCTTATTTTTAGCGATGCTCATCTCTCCATTATTTGCTTCTTCTTCCTTTGCCTACATTAGTGTGACTTCCTTCCTGGATTGCCAATCCCTGCTCATCCCTGTGACCCCAGGTAATGAAGTATTCATGTGTCCCCTTATTGCCACTTGCTCTCATGTGAGCCATGAAGACATCACACCAGAGACGCCTGGGTGGCTCAGTTGGTTAAGCTATGACTCTTGATTTCGGCTTAGGTCATGCTCTCACATTCGTGGGTTCAAGTCCCATGTTGGGCACTGTGCTGACAGTGTGAAGCCATATAATCCTTACCACATTACCACGGGTAATATATCCAGGAACACTCTGGATGAAACAACCTTAAATACATTTTGTATAAAGAACATTTTTGGGGTGGCTGGGTGGCTCAGTTGGTTGAGTATCTGCCTTCAGCTCAGGTCATGATCTCACGGTTCGTGAGTTCGAGCCCCACATCAGGCTCTCTGCTGTGCATGCAGAGCCTGCTGCAGATCCTCTGTCCTCCTCTCTCTCTGCATCCTCCTCTGCTTGTACACGTTCTCTCTCTCTCAAAAATAAATAAATAAAAACTTTTTTTTTTAACTTTAAAAATATATATAAGAACATTTTATTATCTAACACAGTTGAAGTCCAGAGGTAGGATGGCATAATACAGTTTGCCCAATTACATCTTCAAGGTTCCAGGTTCAACGTTTCTATCTCTACTGTCTTCCTCATCAGGATAGTATTGATGATTCTTCTCTTGTCCACATGATGGCTGCCAGAGGCAACTGCTGCCACACACACCCTTAATCACAGCCAACAGGAAAGGGGAGGAGGTGGGGAGCCTGCCACTCACCATGGAATACAAATCCTTTCCTGACACTTGATCAACCTAAAGCAGGTCACATGTTCATTCCCTTTTTTGTGTTTTGCTTTGTTTTATTTAAATCCAAGTTAGTTAACATATAGTGTAATATTGGTTTCCAGAGTAGAATTTAGTGATTCATCACTTACATGTAACACCCAGCGCTCATCCCAACAAGTGCCCTCCTTACTGCCCATCACCCACGTAGCCCATCCCCTCTCCAGCAACCCTCAGTTTGTTCTCTGTAGTTAAGAGTCTCTATAGTTTGCTTCCCTCTCTTTTTTTTAATCTTATTTTTTCTTCCCCTCCCCTATGTTTATCTGTTTTGTTTCTTAAATTCCACATACGAGTGACATCATATGATATTTGTCTTTCTCTAACCGGCTTATTTCACTCAGCATAATACACTCTAGTTCCATCCATGTTGTTGCATATAGCAAGATTTCATTCTTTTTGATGGCTAATATTCCATTGTGTATATACACCACATTTTCTTTACCCATTCATCAGTCAATGGACATTTGGGTTCTTTCCATAATTTGGCTATTTTTGATAGGGCTGCTATAAATATCGGGGTGCATGTGCCCTTTTGAATCAGCATCTTTGAATCCTTGGGATAAATACCTAATAGTATAATTGCTGGGTCATAGAGTAGTTCTATTTTTAATTTTGGGGGGAAGCTCCATACTGTTTATCAGAGTGGCTGCACCAGTTTGCTTTCCTACCAACAGTGCAAAAGTGTTCCCCTTTCTCTGCATCCTCACCAACATCTGTTGTTTCCTGAGTTAATTCTTGAGGCTGGTAACAGTCACCAAGTATCTTCCCTGATTGGCTTGAGCCAATCACAACTCCCCTTTTGGAACTAGGGAGAAGGGACCCACAAAATCATAGTTCTATTGGAAGAAAAAATTTAGGCAAAATATATATTATATACAATATAAAATATAATAAATATATATATTTTTTGTCATACTATATAGTTATAGGTAGTTACTATTAGATGAGAAAACTAGTGCACTGAGAGATTACTAACTTGCTGAAGATCATAAAGCTTTTCAGTGGTAGAGCTCGGTCTAAATACTTGTAGTCTCACTCCAGGGTTTGAGATACTACTTTTTTTTTTTTTAATGTTTATTTTTGAGAGAGAGACAGACAGAACATGAGCGGTGGAGGGGCAGAGAGAGGGAGTCACAGAATCTGAAGCAGGCTCCAGGCTCTGAGCTGTCAGCACAGAGCCCAACACATGGCTTGAACCCACAAACCATGAGATCATGACCTGAGCCAAAGTTGGACGCTCAACCAACTGAGCCACCCAGGCACCCCTGAGATACTAACTTCTACATTTTGTTTGTTTGTTTGTTTGTTTGTTTGTTTTTGAGAGAGAGAATGCAGAGGGAGGGGCAGGGAGTGAAGGAGACAGAGGATCCAAAGCAGGCCCTGTGATGACAGCAGAGAGCCAGATGTGGGATTCCAACTCACAAAACGAGAGATCATGACCTAAGCTGAAGTTGGTGCTTAACTGACTGAGCCACCAGGCACCCCACTTCTACATGATTAATATGTGAGTGTTCCCATACAGAAGTCTTTGGTGAACTGGATTTAGAGATCAGAATTACAGTCCCAAGAAGACAGAATGTTAATTTGATAATTCCTAGTGTGAAACTTAATTGAGGGAGAAAATAGTCTCTTTTGCAATTGTCTTTTTTTGTTTGTTTATTTTGAGAGAGAGAGAGACAGCACATGCAGGGAAGGGGCAGAGAGAGAAGGAGTGAGAGAATCCCAAGCAGGCTCTGTGCTGTCAGTGAGGAGCCTGATGTGGGGCTCCATCCCACAAACCGCAAGATCATGACGTGAGCTGAAATCAAGAGACAGACACTCAACTGACTGAGCTGCCCAGGCACCCTGAAATTGTCTTTTTTAATAAAAGCTTTCCTTCTACTTTGTGAGCCATTAATATTTCAATTATCAATTAGAAAGTAAGCATAATGTTCCCTTTGAAAATAGTATGATTGGCTTTCTTCCAGCCAGACTGTTTTTCTACTATGAACCTACTCTTACTTGTGTTTACAACTGGCCAAAAACTATGAAATTAACAAATCTTGAGGGGTTTAAAATAGACTCCAAATTCAACCACTTCCTAGCACTTCCACCACTGCACTGTATGTAGTCCAAGGCACCATCTTTCCTCACCTGCAATAGCCTCATTGTGAGATCCAGGCTGCTGGAGGAGGAGAAGTTCAAAGTGAGGACATGTTTAGCTTGTCATAATCTTGACTAGAGAGATCCAGCTGTGGATTTGCCGTTCAGGAAAGTTCTAGAAAGGAGATTTAGGAAAGCTTATTGTCAATTTATTCATAGCTTAAGGGACTTCAGGATCTTTTGCTCCTGGAACACCCCATCACCACCCCCGAACATTTAGCAATCAAGGACAATGCCTGGGTACCTAAGGTTCTCCAGGCTGCCTGGCTGCCTACTTCACCAGGCAGTTGAAGTAGGACCAGTTTCTGTCTCCATTTAGACCCTCCACCACCACACACACACACACACACACACACAATCTCTTCATTTCTTCTCACATGAGTCTGCCATTTTTTTTAAATGTTTATTTATACTTGAGAGAGAGAGGGAGACAGATCGCGAGTGGGGAAAGGGCAGAGAAAGAGGGAGACACAGTATCTGAAGCAGGCTCCAGGCTCCGAGCTGTCAAACCGTGAGATCATGACCTGAGCCAAGGTTGGACACTCAACTGACAGAGCCACCCAGGCACCCCTCATTAGTCTACCTTTTAAAGTCCAGGGGAATGTTGGGGAGGGTCCCTTCTTTTCTTATTTTTTTTTAACATTTATTTTTGAGAAACAGAGCATGAGAGGGGGAGGGGCTGAGAGAGCAAGAGACACAGAATCTGAAGCAGGCTCCAGGTTCTAAGCAAGCTGTCAGCCCAGAGCCCAATGCCGGCTCAAACCCACAATCCGTGAGATCATGACCTGAGCCAAACAAAGTCAGACGCTGAACCGACTGAGCCACCCAGGAGCCCCAGGGTCCCTTCTTTTCTGGAAGCCCCTGTCTTCATTCAACCTAGAAGAGCCTGACCAGGCTTCACGTGTGAGAGAAGCAGTTTGTGGGAGAGCTCTTTTCCGTTTCCTTCTCCAGTACTGGGCCGCATCTCTGGGAGTCAGCACAGGCGGCACATCATGGTTCTGAAGACCTCAGTGCTGGACCCGCCCAAAGCCCCTCCTGGGTCGGATAAGCTTATCCAAAGGAAAAAGACAGCACATCAGAGACTTTATACATGGAGTCACTTACTTTATTGGAAGTGGAAGAACACTTTCTTACATTTAGGAGACGTGTCTCAGACATATGCCTAGAAGGTCCGAGAGGAACAAGATTAGGTCATAAATTCAAACTTCTATCAATGCCATTTCTCACCAAAGCCAAAACTTTCCCTTACCTCCTAAATGCCAAGGGGAGATCAGTCCTTTATTACTAACAGAGTGAAATCTAATGGAATCTAGGACAACCAACCCATTGGTAGGGGAACCCTGGGAAAGCCTGAGAGAGACAGTCCCGCCCACCCTCGTAGGCAGACTGGGCCCTGGCCCTGGCACTCTGGGGGAGATGGCCAGGTTGTCCTCGGTCAGGGCCTAGCTCCAGCCAAACTGCAGCATCTGAAGGTCTGTGGAGACAGAGGCAGGGCTCACAACTAAGACCCAGGGCAGGCCAGGACCCCCAAGGAGACATTAAGCAGTGTTACCCCAACCCGGGCCTTCCTGGCTGTGCCTATCCACACACCTCCCTGCTACCTTGCTGCAATTCCAGACTGAAGACCACCAAAATGGCTGTGGCTCCAGGGCACTATCTTGAAGGACTCTCTGGAGTACCTGGATTTCCGGCCACCCAAGCGATTCCTGAAGAAATCAAGAAGCCGCACAGCTCTACAATTCAGCCAAGGACACTGACCTTGAGCCTGCCAGTCAGAGTCCCAGCTCCCCATGCTCCACATCATATCACATAGCCACTGCCTTGCCACAGGCAGTCCAACTACGGCGACATGGGTCTGGCATGTGGCTATGAACCAACCTTCCAGCTGAATGAGGGTGTAGCTGTGCACCTCAATTCAGTGAAGGTCTATGTCAAGGTGGCCTGCAACCAGAGGAGGGACGTATGAACCTCCACCCCTAGGGGTGTGTGCTCTGGGACAGATTGCGGGAGAGTAGGGGAAGGTTGGAAACCGGGGAGGGGGCATGGCATAGACAAGAGCCACCCAACAAAGATGCACTCCTCCTGGTTCTCTTCCATGTCAAATACCAATGGAAGGGAAAATTTCTCAGCAGATACTATCAACCATGGCTTCCTGCTGCAAGTCCTCATATCCTTGCCCTGAATTGCTCACACCTGGTTTGGAATAGGGGCAAGCTAAAATGACCTGTCAAAAAACCTGGAAGAAGTCAGGATAGGCCCAGGACCTGTGCTAAATATTGGCACCTGAACAACCCCACATCTTGGACAGCCTTAGGGGAAGGGCAGCCCATGCCTACAACTCCTTTCAATAAAATCCATCCCAAGTAACTGTCTAATCGGAGCTTAATCCTTTCATGCCAAATTGTATTTTCTCCTCAGTGCTTGCCTCTCTGATGCCCAAGAATCCAAAATTATCTTCATTCTAATTTCAAAGAAATTTTGGAGCATATCTACTGGGCATGAGTGAGGGCAGGGATTGAGGGATGGAAAGCACTAGAACAGGAAGATTCCAAAATGGCCTCCCTAGATTTGGACAGGCACTGTTTTAGTTGGCTCACACTACAAAATATTATAGACTGAGGTGGTTTATAAACAACAAGTACCGCGACGCCTGGGTGGCTCAGTTGGTTGGGCAGCCAACTACAGCTCAGGTCATGATCTCACGGTCTGTGAGTTGGAACCCCGTGTAGGGCTCTGTGCTGACAGCTCAGAGCCTGGAGCCTGCTCCCAATTCTGTGTCTCCCTCTCTCTCTCTGCCCCTTCCCTACTTGCTCTTTGTCTCTCTCTCTCAAAAATAATAAACATTAAAAGAAATTTTTAAACAAGTACTTATTTCTCACAGTTCTGGAGGCTGGGAAGGCCAAGATCATGGCACTGGCAGATTTGATATCCGGTAAGATATTCCTGGTTCGTAGAAAGCCTTCTTTTCACTGTGTCCTTACATGGCTGCATGTCTGAAGGGGCACTCAAGCTTTCTGGGGCCTCTTTTATAAGGACATGAATCAGGTTAATGAGGAGGAACTTTCCCAAAGGCCTCACCTCCTAATACCATCACCTTGGGGGTTAGGAATTCAATATGTGAATCTGGGGAGGCATGCAAGCATTCAGGCCATAGCAGTTACTACCAGCCAACCAATGATTACACATGTGTGGTCAAACCTGAGCTTATTTGGTATGCTGCTTCAAGAAAGAAGCAACAGTCCAGAAATACAGAGCCTCTTTATACAGAAGAGTTGTGGAGAGCCTATTATAGGATTTGACTGGGTGATTCTGAGAGCTGTTTAGAGAAGCAGAGGCCAGTTTTGTAAAAATAGGGCAATCTGGTGATTATCCTGATGATTTTCATGTAGGAGGCAGGTTAATGTGGTCTTGATTGAAGAGTGTCATTGTCTCTGTCTGGTTGTACACGTAGTTTGTAGTAAATGGCCTTTCTACATCTTGCTGCATCACAATCGCTGAGTGGTCTTGACTGGTTAAAGTATTCTGCAAGAGTCGTTTATGTTTAGTAGGGAACATTAGAGTTTACCTTCCAGCTGCAAGTTCTTAGGGTGTTTTTTGGTGGTTTTTTTGTTTTGTTTTGTTTTGTTTTTTTACTTTTCCATCTCCCCTTTTGACCAAAGGACAGTGGCCAGCCCTCAGGACATTCATCTGCATGGTCCAGATCCACACTATCACCAGAATCCATTGATCACAAGGCTATTTGGAGAACACTGTCTGCATTTGTACTGTAGTTAGTTTTGCATGAGTCTTTTATTACAAGGTGAGATGCTGAATTATTTAAGAACATAATGACTGCACAGTAGCATTTAATAGGGACACCTGTGGATAGGGACACCTGGGTGGCTCAGTTGGTTAAGCATCTTGATTTTGGCTTAGATCATGATCTCATGTGAGTTCATGGGTTCGAGCCCACTGACAGTGTGGATCCTGCTTGGGTTTCTCTCTCCCTCCTCTCCCTCTCTCTGCTCCTCCCCCGCTTCCGCACATGCATGCATGTGCACACTCGTGCACTCTCTCTCTCTGTTTCAAAATAAATAAGTAAACTAAAAAAAAAAAAAAAAAAGACTGGACAGGATACATGGGTCAACTAAAATACAGGTAATTACTGGAAACAAAGTGATTATTAGTCCTATTAACAGGTTGCAAAGGAAAGAGCCTAGATTTCAAACCCAGACCATGAAATCAGATCCCCAAATCCACCTGAATGTGTTCTAGAGAGCCAGATAGTCTTTCTTCTAACAACTACTAACTGCTCTACCTAACCAATAGTGTTTTAGGTAGGTGCTACAAGCAGTGTTTTCTATAAAGCAAACACTTAGCTAGCCAAGAAGAAACCAAAGGCCATTTAATCATCCATAACCACCATGAAACTTTAATTTAATCTAGTTTATTGGACCTCCAGAGCAGAGGTAGTGTCATTTATGACTTCTCTTAGGTTCAAAGACAAATTTTGTACCAGCTTTTCTTGTTGTATTATTCCTACTATTGAAATTGCAGTGGGACTCGATTACATCTCCTGGGAGCTCTTCTGAATAGTCCATGCTTCCCTTGTTTCAGGTCTCGCAGTATCTTTCTTAGAGAAACAGTTCCTGTAGGAATAGATGCTTTAAATATTGCAAATTCTCTAAAAGTTACTCCATACTATCACACAAAATAGGTTTGTGTAATAATCAGGTGAACGCCTGATGTCCACATAAAAAGTAGTAACTTACTGTTGCACAAATTGAATAGGAAGCACAAGTATCATTGATCACAATGGGAGCAGGACAATCATTAGTCCCTTAATATGTAAAGATTCCTCAAGTGGAGGCTGGGGAGTCACTGAAGACAACAGACCAATACTGCAAGGATAACCTTAATATTTGTTTTTATTCTGTAATCTTGTTTCATGAGTCAGGCTAAGTATTGGGTTCAATGTTCAATATTGATAGAGCTGAAGGCTAAGATTAATACTGTCAGGAAGATTCAAATTCCAGAAGAAAAAAAAATTTTTTTGAAGTGTTGAAAAGAACAGCTATTAAATTTTGGTTAGTCAAATCTGGCGGAGGATGACAACTCCATTAATCAATTAGATTTAGAACAATATCTATAGCCTGGACACACACACACACACACACACACACACACACAGAAAGAGGTTTGCCTCTCCTCAAGTGGAAGAGAAATACTACAAAGGATTAAGATTAGAAATGTAACTATGAGAAAGAATTATGAAAAATTTCTCTTCACCTCTAGGGGGCACCAAAGTACAATAATAAGTAGAGCAAAATAAAAAAAGGAGGGCAGAGATACCAAAAAATGTATCTTGTTTTATTGCCTTGGGTTGAAGCTCTCTACTTCACATCATTGGCTTTATATGAAGTTCTTGGTTTGGTAGTCTTCTTCCAAAGATCAGTTATTCCTGGAGGATATGTAAGAATCCTTTGAGGTTTCTCAATGAAATTCTTTCAACTGAGGCCAGAGATAATTTTTCCCATAATTTTTGGAAGTTTAGTCTCTTTCAAAAAACTAAATCTCCAAGTTTCCAAGCATGCAGAAGCTAGTTAGGTAGGATATTTGGGGAATATCGCTTATACTTACTGATGATAAATTTGGGCACAAAAAAATGAATCCTTTGTAATACTTAGAATTATATGCTCACAGTTATAAATTATTGGATTATTACTTTCCTGAAGTTCCCTGGCATGGCCTTTTCATAAAGGGCATTTTGGAGCTGCTCTTTAGTACAACAACAGTGAAATGTGTACCCCACATCACCAAAGACATCAGTTAGATTTCCTTAGGTCCAGAATAAAAATCAAGCAATTTACCCTCAGAACCTTGGCTATCCATCAGGAGTATCCTCAATCTATCCTGTAAGTAAACAATAGCCAGTACATACACCATCACCGGGGGCAATTTCTTTGGTCAATGCTTGCTTGGCATAGTGATAAGCTAAGGTATTTCCTTGGAATTCTGGATCATTACACTTTGAAGTTAGCTTCCTTCAGTTGACCAAATATACAGATGACCAAATATATATATCTCAGATATATTTAGTCTTCATCCACAGTTCCAGAAAATGCTTCAGAACCATAAAAGGGAAATGGGTGTCTCATTATCAATTAAGGTGACTTTTGGACCCCATCCAAGGGAGGCCACTGGTTTCCAGGAAGACCAACCATGTGATTGAAGAGTGTGAACTTTCAGTCCTACCCCCTCCACCCCCAGTCTCTGGTGGAGGGAATTGGGGCTAGAGGTTGAATCAGCCAATGGTCAGTGACTTAGCCAATTATGACTATACAATGAAGCCTTCATTAAAACCCAAGTGGACAGCTTTTTTAGTCTTTTTTTTTTTCCCCCTGAAAGCTTCCATGCCTGGGGAACCAGAAAGCTCCCACATGCTGCTGAACCAGGCCTCAAGTCCATGAGAACAGAAGCTCCTTGGTTAAGAACTTCATCCTATGTATCTCTTCATCTTGCTGTTGTTTTGTATTCTTTATCTTATCCTTTAATAAACTGATAAATTTAAGTGTTTCCCTGAGTTCTGTGAGCAACTCTAGCAAACTAATCAAACCTAAGGAGGATGTCTTAGGAACCTCCAATCTTTAGCTGGGCTGTCAGAAGCACAGGTAACAGCCTGGGGCTTGCTACCTGCATCTGAAGGGGATAGGGATGGGGACCAGTCTTGTGGGACTGAATCCTTAACCTGTGGAATCTGATGCTATCTCCCAGTAGACAATGTCAGAATTGAGTTTATTGGACACCCTGCTGGTATCCAAAAATTGTGTTGTATGTGGGGGAACCCACCTGATACACACACACACACACACACACACACACACACACACATTGGAATTGGGTCCAGGAAGTCTAAAAGAGTCACCAATCTGCAGAATTTTCTTTTTTAAAATCAATGTGTTGATAGTTATTGTCAATCTGTATAATGAACAAGGGTTTGTTTGTTTTTCACTTTAGAAGTACATAATGATTTTATTAAAATTAGCCCCAAAAAACTCAACTTTTATTTTGATTTGTCAGTTTTTTATATTCTAATTTGGCAACCAAAAAAAAATTAATAATGTTTGAGTTACTCAAAATTTTAGAATGTGAAGCAAACCTGAATATTCTATTTTTTCCTTTATAAACTAAAAGAGAGAAAAAAAAAGAAAAGGTATCTTAGAAGTTTGATTATTTTGGATTTGGGGGCAAATTTTAAGAAAAAGAAGTTACTTCAACAATAGGAAACATGGATTTAAGGTGCACTTTGAAGATGAAGCAAGCAAGATTTTCTGACTTAATGATTTTAAGCAAGTAGCTCCAAAAAAAAAAAAAAAAAAAAGCTTTTTTCAGGGCAGGTCATGATCTCCCAGTTTGTGGGCTCAAGCCCAAAATCCAGCTGTCAGCACAGAGCCCACTTGGGATTCTATCTCTCTCCCTCTTTCTCTCTCTCTGCTTGCCTCCATTGTTCTCTTTCAAAATAAATAAACATTTTAAAAAAATAGATTATTGCTTTCCTGTGGTACCCTGGTATGGCCTTTGTGTTGGGGGGCAAAAAAATTTCAAAACATTTGTAAGTAAGTGATGCTAGTATTATCAGGAGGCTTCAGTTTCTACTCCGACAAAGTTAACCTTCTAGTTCGCTTTCTATGCACGTTGATATTCACTTTCTCAAACATCAACCCTTTGGTGAAATAAAGCAACTGTTTCACTTTTGTGATGAGAATTTTTAAAAATCAGATTTGGAGTGCCTGGGTGACTCAATCGGTTAGACGTCCAACTCTTGATTTCCACTCAGGTCAAGATCTCACCGTCAGTAAGATCGAGGCTCACCTGGGGCTCTGTGCCAGAGGTGCCACAAAAATTAAAATATTTTTAATTTTACATGAAAAAATTGATGTGTTTTTTTCAAAAACAATTTTTCTACATTGAATTTGATTTTTTTTAATGTTTATGTACTAGTTTTTGAGAAAGAGAGAGAGAGAGAGAGAGAGAGAATCCACGTGCAAGTGGGGGAGGGGCAGAGACAGAGGGAGAGAGAGAATTCCAAGCAGGTTCCACACTGTCAGTGCAGCTGGAGCTCTCTCTCATAAGCTGTGAGATCATGACCTGAGCCTTAATCAAGAATCTGACTCCCAACTGACTGAGCTACCCAGGTCCCTCAGGGAAGTCCATTTCTTATTCAGCATCTCTATCACTCTGCCAATCTCTGGCTGACAATAGGAAAACATTTTCAACTCCCAGATGACTTGAAAATATAGAAAAAGAATCTTGTAGTGATGATGTGAGTAGCTCCTAATATCAATTCAATACCAGGTTATTAGATTAATCTTGATAATCTCATTTCCCTTCCTGGTGACCTGAGTAGGAAATGGCATATGTCTCAGTTTTTAAATGAGGTAAAGCCTAAGAAGCTTCCAGAATAGGTTTTCTCATTTCTGAAAAGAGACATAAAAATGATTTTGTCCCTCCTCTTCTTCTAGTGGTAGGGACTACATATGATTTGGGGAAGAGCTATAAGCATCTTGCTACCAGCATGAAAATGAAGCCAACACAATATGAAGTGGGAGGGGAGGAATACACAGAAACTGGATCTGAGCCCTACTTGGACTTACTGTTATTGGCAATGTTTCGTCTCTATTGGTTTTTATCTATCAGATTTATCCAGATTTTTTGAGGTATTATAGAAAATAAAAGTTGCATTTATTTATCTGTACAATTTGATATTGTTTGCTATTCAATAGATAGTTACTGATTCCATCCTATAAGGGCACTTTGCAGAACACTGGAACCCACAGGTGGTTCCTGCAATTGAAGGACCTTATACTCTAGCAGATAACCTTAAAAAGCATCTGGAAATGTCATTTTTTATTGAGATATAATTAACATATTAGTTTCAGGTGTCTAACATAATTCAATATTTATATTGCTTAAGGAAAAAAAAAAAGGGTTGCCTGGGTGGCTCAGTCAGTTAAAGGCCTGACTCTTGGTTTCAGCTCAGGTCAGGATCTCACAGTTCATGGATTCAAGCCTCACGTCAGGCTCCATGCTGATGGTGTGGAGTCTGCTTGGAATTCTCCCTCTCCCTCTCTCTCTCTGCCCCTCCCCTGCTCAGTCTCTCTCTCAAAATAAATAAACTTAAAAAAAAAAAAAAACCAACGAAGTAAATAGCTTCTGAATAAGACATATAATTCTCTTAAAGTACCTGGGAGGGAAATGGGCCATGTTCATTCAGAACCATGATTTTTAAGTTGCCCCTTCCGCAAGAATTGGCAACCTGATGAAGGATAAAGTAGTCTAAATTCTGTGTTTGGGAATCTATGGTCACTATATAATATATGCACTTCTGTCCTAGTCTCACCACTTCCACTTCCTAACCTGTAAAAGTGGAAATAATAACTGTATCTTCCTCACAGGTTGTTATAAATTACTTAAAAAGACCACAATTTGTCATATTAGCTGTTTGATACTACAGAGGTAATCCTCATACAGGTGCATCCAGTGCTGGGGAACATGAATCTCTCTGAACTATACCTAATGTTGGTGAGCAACGTGCTTTTCATACTCCCACAGTTTTGGTAACATTCATTATCAGGAAAACAATGGAACTCATAGATGGCCACTGTTGGAATCCTGCTTCCGCCATGCTCAGCCAAGATGACATCAAACCTCCTGACCACAGGTTGGCGCTAGGCACTGCTGGGACTCTGTTGCCCTACCCGGATTTGAGGGAGCCAATGGGCAAGCGCTCCTGCAGTGGGCGGAGCCTGCGAAGGGACCAACCGGGCTGTAGACAGACTGCGAGCAGTCTCGTCCCGCCTCCCGGCCACGTGGGATTTTCTCTTCCTGCGGATAGCGGCCCAGGCACGAGCAATGGCGCCGTATCTGATGACGACCCAATATAGATCGCACAGCCAAGGAGCCAGCAGTAAGTGTTCTCATTATGCGAACTGGCTCCTTTTGCACACTCGACGGGACTGGTGCAGGTTTAAGCACTTTCTGAAACCATCAGTGCTTCACGTGGAAGCACGTCGGCTAGAAAAGATTTTTGGTGAGTACACGCGAATCTTTACCACAGGGCTCCACCTTGGTCTCCGGTAACCACATTGAACCACCCACCGCAGACCTAAGGCAGTGGCTAGTGTATCCCAGTGACCTTGGGGGGGGGGGGGGGGGGGGGGGGGGGGGGGGGGGG